GCAGGGAGACAGGAGAAGGAAGACACAGAAGAGAGATGAACTGACAGGAGAAGTAAAAGGACGACAGGAAGTATTAATGTAATAGGTGCTTCCCAATAAAGAATATGTGGAATGAATGAGGCAGAATTGAACAAATAATGGTTGAGAATTCTCCATTATTGATGAAAGATGTGAACCCCTAGGAACGGGAAACAAACACAGTGTGTACCAAAGGAATAAACCAGAAACATGCTTGAAAGCAAAAAAACACAAAAGACGGAAAAGATCTTAAAATCAGAGGAACTGACAGAGCCCTTGCTCTAACGCTGACGCAGGCCTCCGGCTGAGCCCTGTACACCCGTCTGCTCTGGCCCTTGAACCTCTGGGATCGTGGAGTGTGGAAGTCTCCGGAGCGAGTCTCCCCAGCTCTACAATTCGCTGACCAGACGGCGGGCTGCAGGGTCTGCCCGTTGTCGGGGCACAGGAGCCTTAGGCAGTCCCAGAGGCAAAAGCCAGGAAGGCCACTTTCTGAGTCTGGCCTCGCGCCCCTTCTCTGAGGGCCATTTCTCTGCTCCCTAGGGGGCGTCCCAGCCCCTCGGCTGCTGTGGGGAGTGCGGGGGCGGGCGAGGGTGGGGAAGGGCCGCCCAGTTCCGGGGGAATCCGGTGCCACCTTGCGGCACGTCGGAGCACTGCGCACGCGCATGCCGGGCAAGGACTTGAACGCAGACCCTTGAGCTCGCCAGCCTGGGGCCACTGATGGGGGACACGGGGTAGTTCGGGGGCCTCCGGGATTTGAGGGGGCGTGTGGGGTCACACCCAGGCGCAGAGCTGCTTCTCCCCGTCAGGCTGGCGGCGGGGTCCGGGGCTCCAAGTGGGGGTCGGCAGCAGCGAGTGGAGGCGTCGGGCCAGGCGGGCGCGAGCGGCCGAAGCGAGCACCAGCAGCGGAGGCAGCGAGAGGAAGCCCAACACGATGAGAGCCGCGGAGCCGCTGTCGGACAGCAGCACGCGGCACGCGGGGCGGGGCGCCGGGTGGACCTGAGAACCGGGAAGATGGTCAGGCGGGGCGGTAGGGGGTGGGGGGTGTCTCAGTTCCGGGGCGGGGCCCGAGGTCGGCCAGAGCCCAGAGGGAAGTGGGTGGGGTGCGGGGGCTGGGGCTGGCTGTGGGCCAGACATTTCCTAGCCGAGGATGGGAGATGGGGGACCCAGGCGGTAAATGACCCGAGTAGGAATCCCCTGAGGGGAGGCTCAGAGAATAGCTGTCTGGCGCCCCGACCTCCGTCTTCCTCCCTCTGTGCTCTCCACGGTCCTTCCCTTCGCTGGCATCTGACCCCGAAGCCCTGCCTCTGGGTGCCGCCAGCTGGTGTCAGCCTTCTCTTCTGCAGCCAACGTTTGGTCCCCCTCCCCTGCTGTATGCCTACAGGAAGAGGGACACGGGGCCCACCTGCCTATACCCTCCCCATCCCAGACCTAGCCGTAGCCCATTCCACAGATGGGGAAACCCATCCCCGGGTAGGAGGGGTCCTCAGAGGGGCTGTGTTGGGGGGCCTGAGGGATGGGGACTGTGGACTGGCTAAATCCGACAGTATCTTTATCTCCTCTTCCTGGAAGCCTTCTCCTCTCCCCACCCTGCCCAGCTGTCCAGGCCCTGGTGGCCCCTGGTACAAGGCTGGGAGGCCTCAAAGAAGGGAGACAGCCCTTGATGGCAAACAAAAGCCTTTTTTTTTTTTTGCTGTGGCTGGTGGCAGGGCGGGGGGCTTGGCAGAAGAAAGGGCCCTTCAGGGAGGAGCACCCACACTCCCCACAGACCCCAGACAGTTCCCCAGTCTTGCCCAGGGAAGGCTCAGCTCACCCTCGAGTGACACAGGAATCCCAGGTACACGACGGCAGCTGCAGGCAGCAGCACCAGCAGGAACACAGCTGCAGGCAGCAGCAGGTGGAGCAGGAGCCGGGCCAGGGCCCATCCTGGGAGCAGCAGAGTCCCCAGGCCTTGGGCAGCCAGGCTTGGCCACCCTGGGGACATCAGGTCTGAAGCCTGGCAGTCAGGAAGCCTCCGGGGCAGCATGGGTGCTGTGTCTGAAGGGTCTCCCCCCTCATCCTCCTCTGTCTCCCTCTCCTGATCATTCATGCCCTCAGCAGTGGGCCTGGTGGGCTCACAGCAGCAGTCACGTGGCAGGACTGAAGCCCCTCACTCCCGTCAGATTAGCAACCTTTTAACCCTAGGTCACCAGGTCAGGTTTCTGCTCAGACTCCAGCAACCGAAGAGTGAACGCAGCTGGAGGGCAGGACCCTGGCCCAGGTACGTCCAGCCCCGACCATCTGTCTCCAGGGCCACACGTGAGCGGCAGGTCCCTGTTGCCAGGCTGACCCTCTCTCTCTGCCAGGTTCCTACAGCTCTGGCCCTGGCTGGTCTCTCTGCTGGCCCCTGCGTGCTCTGGTCAGAGCCTTCACAGCTGTCCTGACAACTCTGCACTGGGCCCTCCTCCCTCTGGGTCCCGCCCTCTCCCAGCTGCCAGCCCCTGCACACAATGACTTCATTTCATCAGTCTCAACCGGCAATTAATTGCCCCATCAGTAGCTGCCACAGAGAGGTCAACACCTGACCCACCTCTCAGCACTAGTCCCCCTGGTCCCTTCATCCCCCACACCTGGTCCCTCTCAGCATCAGAGAAACAGCCCCAAAAGATGCAGGCCTGTTGAGAAGGCACATGAGCAGTGCATGTGAAATGCTTAGTGTGGGACTCAACACACAGTAGGCGCTCAATAACAGCAGTTGCCACCACAGGCATCCTTTGTGTCAGAATCCAGTCCATCCTGAAAACAGGGGGAGCATGTACTCCATTATTTCAAGTAAGAAGGGAAAAGCATGCCTAGCCCTTCCAAAAACCCTAACTTCTCCAAATGTTACCAAATATAGTTAGCACCTAACAGTCTCCTGGGGGTTTTGTGTGCAACCTACAGCATTTTAAAGGGCACTTAGGTGAGTAGTTGACACTTAAACACTGAGTAGGTTGTCTGGGAGCTGGACGAAGGAGGCTGGGTGATACCACATGGGAAAGTTTCTCTTTCCCTTCCCACACAATCTGCCTCATCCCTTCCATTCCTAACATTTTCCAGGTCTCTCAAGTTCACCAGCACCCTTTCACCAGGCAGGGATGCAGACGAGAGTGACAGTGCACAATTTGTTCAAGGGACACTGGTGGTGACACCATGTGGAGCTCTTGGGCACAAAGCCTTTGTGTCCCCCATTTCTTTAATTATAGGGAACAGCCTTCACTCAGCTTCCATGACCTTCCCTGAATTCTAATGGGCAGATTCAAGCCGTTGTTCATTAGAGAAGGGAGGGAATGAGAGAACAGAGAGAAACCATCAGGAGCAGCCTTGGGGCAAGGTCCTGTTTCCCCATCAAGGGATACACACAACAATTTCTTTGAGTTATTTTGCAGATAAGGAAACCCCATCCAGGTGGGAGAAGTTAACAATTAACAATGGAATACTGCCCACAAGCATGTAGACCCCAGACCAGTTGGACCTGAAGGTTAAAAATGCTGGCTCCTACTTGCCTCAACACCAACCCATCAGAAGAACATCCACAAGCTGATCAAGTCCTCTTTAAACAATTACTATAAAACTTGTCACTATTTTCCCCAAGTTGGGACACTTGGCTTTGAGAGCATTAGCCCGCTGTGACCCCCTTTGCCTGATAAAGCAATAAAGTTATCCTTTTCTACTTCAACCCAAACTCTGCCTCTGAGATTCGATTTGGAACCAAGTTCAGCTGAAAGCTGAACTTTCAGCATCAGTGGAGACACTCCGGCCTGGAAATCTGCTGAGGTCCCCAGCAGTGCCTGTCAAGCCCTGCTGCCCATAGGTGTGCAATTGAACTATTTACACAGGTGCACATGTGGAAGATCTCACAGTAACTATTTATTCTGATAGTGAAAGTGAAAGTTGCTCAGTCCCATCCGACTCTCTGTGACCCCATGGACTATACAGTCCATGGCATCCTCCAGGGCAGGATACTGGAGTGGGTAGCCTTTTCCTTCTCCAGGGGATCTTTCTGATAGTGAAGTTGGGGTTAAAAAAAAATGTTGCAGATGATAACCTTTGGGTGGAGAGAGTTCAGACAACAAGGATCTCTGTCTCATCTCCTTTTAAGCCCCAGCCTCTCCTGTGGTCCTCCACTCATTCATTCACTCATTCAACAAACAGCTGAGTTCCGGCTGTGGGCCCAGCGTGCTTGAGACCAACAGAGGCCCCTGCCCCTGGGGGACAGCTCCGTGTAGGCGCCCTGACATCCAGTGGTCACCTGAGCAAGCTGCAGTGCCCTGGCTGTGGCAGAGGCTGTGGGGACAGGCCTCACAGCCCACTGTTGCTGCTTTCTGCCGGCGAAGAGGCCGCCAGGAGACAGTGTTTAGCTTCCCTGGCTCTGATGAGGGATAGGATAGTCCCCCCAGCCCCCAGGATACGAGCGCTTCTTCTCAGCAACAGGGTGCCCTTCCCACCCCACCCTGTGCCCTTGTGTCCTGTCATCTGGCCCTGCTGCTTTCAGCATCTTCCCAGTCATCCTGTGCAGACACCCTTGTTTTTCTGGCTTTTGCCAGCTGCTGGCACCTGGTCTACTCGGCCTGGTCTCAGCCAGCAGGGACAGGAGTGGGGCTGGGGGGCAGGGCCAGAGGGAGGGACCCAAGGAAAGGCATGTGGGTGCCTCCTGGGGGGCAAATCGTGGCACATCAAAGGCTGTGCTCTGTGAGGAGCTATAGTCCACGGGCAGGTTCCTGCTTGCCTGGCCTTTATCTCCTGGGAGGGAGGACAAGTCAGAGGCCCTGGCGGTTGGCAGGGGCTGAAGGCTGCTGGGACACAGGCTGTGGTCTGCAGGTACCGCCTCCCCCTAAGTTGCTGGGTAAACAATGTGGAGAGCTGGCCCTTCGCCTGGCCCCCAGAAGCCCTCCCTTCCCTGCCCCGCCCCTCTCCCCCACCCCCACAAATGCAGTTTCAGCTACCTACCTTCCTGGAACAGATCTCTCACCTCAGCTCCTTCGGAAGGAGTTTCATGAAAGTGCCTATGACTGGGCCAGGACAGCATACAGAGGACCCCCAGCCAGAGGACTCGACGGGAGCCAGCCTGGGCCTCCAGCAACCATGCCTGATTCATGTTCTTTCCAGATGGACTCTGGGGTCTCAGAGCCTGGGGAGCAGGACCTGACAGAAGCAGGGGCGGAGCAGGAACTGCGATGGTTGGATCTGGGCTCTGAGGAGGCTCTGGGAGCTGGGACACAGGGGCCCAGCACCCCACGGGCCTGGGGGCACTTGCTGCAGGCTGTGTGGAAGGGTCACACGGGCCTGGTGACTCAGCTGCTGCGGCAAGGGGCCAGTGTGGAGGAGAGGTGAGCCCCGCGGTGGCTTGGTATCTTCACAGGTATCTGGTGGGGTGGTGGCTGCTGTGCCTTCAGTGGTAGGGAGAGGCAGCGGTTCCCAGCAGGTAGAGGGGGTCCTTCCTGGGCAAAGGTGGCCAGTTTGAGTTTCTTTCCCCAGCAGGGGGCAGAGGGCAGGGGTCAGGGGCAGTGGCCTGGCTCCAGATCCAGCCCCCAACCTCACCGCCCTGGCCTGCCCCACAGGGACCGCGCTGGCCGGACTCCGCTCCACCTGGCGGTGTTGCGAGGCCACGTGTCGCTGGTGCGTCTCCTGCTGCAGCGCGGGGCCCAGGTCGGAGCCGCAGACCGCGCGGGGCGCACACCGCTGCACGAAGCCGCCTGGAACGCGCCGTCGCGGGTGGCAGAGCTGCTGCTGCGGCGCGGGGCGCCGGCGAATGCATGCTGCCTGGCCGGCCTCACGCCGTTGCACTGGGCCGCCGCTCTAGGCCGCACGCTGATGGCTGGGCACCTGCTGGCGGCGCCGGACCCTGGCCCGACAGCGGCAGACGCGCGCGGCTGGACGGCGTCGCACTGGGCGGCCGCGGGAGGCCACCTGGCGGTGCTCGAGCTGCTGGGGGCGAACGGTGGCGCGCGTCTAGACGGCGTCCTGCTCGTGGCGGCCGCGGCTGGGCGCGCAACTGCGCTTCGTCTCCTTCTGGCGCAAGGGGCTCCAGTAGACGCCCGGGACGGTGTGGGGGCCACTGTGCTGGGCGTCGCGGCCGGCCTGGGCCGCCGGCAGGTAATCGTGGCCCAGCCTCCGAGTGATAGAACGGTGGCGGAGAGGGACCAGCCACCAACCCCCGCTGCCCTTGGATATTGGCTCCTGGAAGCCCAGGGAGGGAGCCCTGCGGCAGCACTAATATTTATTGGGCACCAGGGGCAAGCCTGTGTCAGCCAGCAGGGAGGATGGGCGGCAGGCAAGTCAGGACCATTAGGGGCAGTGGCAGTCTCCAAGTAGAGCCTCTGCAGGTGTCACGCCTGAGTGCTAAGCTGATTCAGTTGTGTCCTACTATTTGTGACCCTATGAACCGTAGCTCTCCAGGCTCCTCTGTTAGTGGGATTCTCCAGGCAAGAATACTGGAGTGGGTTGCCATGCCCTCCTCCAGGGGATCTTCCTGACCCAGGGATCGAACCCGCATCTCTTCTGTCTCTTGCATTGGCATGCAGGTTCTTTACTGCAGTGCCATCTGGGAAGCCCACATAGGTGCCAGTTGTTGTTGTTCAGTCACTGAGTTGTGTCTGACTCTTTGCAACCCCATGGACTGCAGCAAGCCAGGGCTCCCTGTTCCTCACTATCTCCTGGAGTTTGCCCAAGTTGATGTCCATTGAGTTGGTGATGCTATCCAACCACCTCATCCTCTGCCACCCTCTTCTCCTTTTGCCTTCAATCTTTCTCAGCATCTGGGTGACCAAATAAGGGAGCAGTGTCAAGAAAGGGAGGCCAAGGGCAGCTGGGTGCTACATGGTTAACACAGCCAGCAGCCTAGCCCCTGCCCCCTTCTCTTCCAGGACATGGAGGTGCTGCTTGAGCACGGGGCAGACCCAAGCCTCAAGGACAGGCATGGCCGCTCTGCACTCCACAGGGCTGCTGCTGGTGGACATCTGCTTGCTGTCCAGCTGCTGGCCGCCTGGGGAGCAAAGGTGGATTCTCAGGACAAGTTGGGCCTCACCCCCCTGCACCATGCTGCCCGGGGAGGCCACATAGAGGTCACTGGCCACCTCCTGGACAGGGGTGCAGAGGTCAATGCTGCTGGCTGGCTCCAGAAGACCCCCCTGCATCTCGCCATGGAGCATGGCCATGGCCCCACCACAGAGCTTTTGCTGAGCCGAGGGGCCAGCCCCACCCTGCGGACACGGTGGGGGGATGTGGCCCAGGACCTGTGGCCTGCCCTCTGTGGAGAGCAGGAGGAGTCCTAGGGGCACAGGGCCCTGGGGTGGCAGGCCAAAGCAGGACGAAAGGCTCCGGGCTTCCATGGCCTTCAGGACGCGCTCAGGCTTCTCTCCGCTGGTGCAGGAGAGAAGAGCCCGGAGATTCCTGGAGGAGACAGAGGCAGTGGCTGGAGCCTGAGCAACAAATGTGTCACTGGACCTGGAGCAGCTCCACTGACTCCCAGAGCCATTCACCCCTGCAGCTCACGCCTTCTCCACTCTCTGCAGTGGAGAGACTGAGTCATGACAGAACTGACTGAAACCCGATGGTCTCCGCTTTGTCTGTCCACCGTGGGTGTGTCACCCCTGGTGTGCCCTCTGTGCACGCCGACACGCTTACTGTGTCTCCTTAGATTCAGTGTTTGTCTGCTGGCACCCACTCACAAATGATGGGGCCGAATGAATGGCCAGCTGTTCTCCTCTCCCCTGCCACCTGACCCACCCCCAAACTGCCTTCTCTCATGTTACCAGCTGACGTCCTCCTGCCCAGAATCACTCAGAGCCAGACATGCTTCTGTGCACCAAGGCCCAGTGGATTATCACACAAACTAGCCCCAAACTGTTACCCTGCCCTGCCCTGCCATTCCTGCCGGAACCCTAATAAAGGCCTGAGCCTTCCCAGAGCCCCTGCTCCTGCCTCCTGGTCGACACCAGTGCTCCTGCCCATGTCCCTCTGCAGCGTGGTGTGCCCCCCACCTTCAGTGACATAAGGCATAAGAATCTGTCTTCAATGGCTTTCGCCTCTCCCTGTCGTCACTCAGTCATCTCTGCAGTACAACAGATATAGAGGGACAGCTGTCTCTGATTGCCCACCGCTGTATCCTCAGAGAAAATCAGTGCTCTTATTCTATTTTTCTAGAAGAGCTCTAGAGGACAGATTTTGTCTTTCAAAAGTGAGAGTCGTGCCAAAGTAGCGTCTCTGTGTGGCAGCCCTGGGAGCACTTGTATTTTACTCACAAGATAATGTAAACCTTTGGAGAGTTTGTGTTCCTGTGACATGGTCTCTTTGGTTCTAGGCCTGCAAGTGCCCAGTGGACCATATCTAGGAAGGGGAAACCCTGGAGACCAGTGAAATGGTGGCAGCACAGCAGTGGAGGTGGGAGAGGCAGGCAGAATTGGGGTGATTCTGTGGGCATAGCCCTCTGGACTTGCTGATGGTTGAACATGGGGGGCCAGGAAAAGGGAGACATAAAAATGACTCCTAGAGAGGCTGGGCTAGGTGGAGGGGTGGGTGGGAGAGCAGATGCACAGGAGATGAGATGCGAGGAAAGGTGGGGCTCGAGTTACATCTCTGGAGTCATCAAAGTAAGGATGGTTGTGCTTTTTCGACTGCATAGCATGGCATGTAGGATCTATAGCATCTCAGTTCCCTGACCAGGGATGGAACCTCTGCCCCCTGCAGTGGAAGCATGGAGTCTTAACAACTGGACCACCAGAGAAGTCCCAGGATGGTTTTTAAAGCTGCAGGATGGACCCAGAACCAACCTCCAGCACAGCCTGTGGGCTCAACCTCAGAGCACACCCCCAGCCTGACTAACTCACCTCTCCCACTGCATCCACCACGTCCAGGCCAGCAACAGTCAGCTGTGCCTGCCCCCAGCCTAAATCAATCTTCTGGTTTAACCTGTGACTCCTGGGGAGCTCTTCTCAGAACAATAGCCATAATCCTATGGCATGATCCCCCAGGGGGCTCCCTCTCATGGCGTGTAGACCAAACATAGTGTATGGTGTTCGTTGATACCCCAGTGATCTTGGCTGTTGAATGCACTCCTTCCAGTGGGATCCCCTTGTTCCTCCCATCCAGAGCTGGAGTCTGGGTCTCCTTTTGAGCGGACTTTTGTGATTAGTCCAGTGCCCTAGCGCTGCCAAAGTGATGCTTCCAGGGTGGGCTGAGAAGGTGACCAGGCTGCCTGGTCCTGCCCTGTGGCCACCATACTATGAGGAAGCCCATGGTACCCAGGACATCAGAGTCCTTCCTCGACCTCCAGGGCCCCTACATCCTCACCAGGCTCGGTTGCTGGCCTCTAGCGGCTGACTTGCTCACTGGCCCTGGACCTGCACTGGCTCTGCTCCCACCACTCTGGCCTTTTGCTGACCTTGCCCATACTGGGTCTGGCACATGCTGACCCTCTGGCTGAGTCAACACTTTCCTTGTCACTGGACCACCACTCTCTGGATGCATCCTTCCAACACTATCTAGAGCCCCAAGGGAAGGCTCTTCTTTAAAGAGAATGCCAATAAATTTGGAAAGAGTTATAAAGTCAATGATTGCCGGGAGCCAGCACACGAGATCCCACCCATGACAAGGTCATGAGGGAGAAAACCTGACAGGCAAGGCGGATCAGGTTTTCAAGTATTTGGAAAAGGCCAGCTCACGAGATCCCACCCATGACAAGGTCATGAGGGAGAAAACCTGACAGGCAAGGCGGATCAGGTTTTCACGGGTTTCGAAAAGGCCAGCTCACAAGATCCCACCCATGACAAGGTCATGAGAAGAAAACCTGACAGGTAAGGTGGATCAGGTTTTCAGGGATTTCGAAAAGCTGCCCCCGGCGCTCACCTTAAAGATGATATCTGTCTTTCTGATGCCTGCCTCAATAGACTACTCCCTAATTTCTGTGACACAGGCAGAAGGCCTTCCCCCATCTCTTCCCAAATAAAAATCAATTTAGAACTTTAATCAATAAGTTTCCCAGGTGGTGGTATTTTATGAGATTATCCAGGGTGAAAGGAGTGTTTTAATTTAAACTCCTTTGCTGGTATTTTAGTTTGTTTGGCAAATGCATTTATGCCATTGGTACTAATATGCATGATTGCTTATATTAATACCCTAATCATAAAATAGCATAAAGAACCTGATCATATAAAGGCCTTAGTAGACATAGAGCCCTTTGGGGAGTGAGGAAGTCCTATTAGAAAACATAAGAAAAATTATCCTAAAGGTGGTTATTGGGTTGACGTTTGCTTGCTGTGTTTTGCTTGCTGTGTTTTTGCTTTTAATGTGCTAAGGTTGTGTTATAGAAACCATTGTTAATATAGCTAAAGAGCTAGAGAAATAAGAGCCTAGAGAAATACCACCCTAGTGTGGTAACAATGAGATGGTTGTTAATTGTCAGCCAGGAGTGCTAGGCAGAAGCTGCCTCACTGAAGCTGCAGAGTCTGTGTGGGGTAAACTTCTTAGATAAACGCAACTGACAACTTCTGCAGAAGGATTACTTTTTGTGTTAACAAGGTTATACTTCCACTCTGTACCGTTGTCCTATGAGACTGCTACCTTTCAGTTAAGGTCACCATAGAAACAGAAAATAGGTTTACATTCACCTGACCTGCATAAAATGCTAATAGGCCCCAAGGCCAGAAGATAATGTACAAGACCCTCATAAACAAAGAAGTATGCAGAAAACACCCTGGTTTTGTGAAGGACAAGCTGACGTAATGTTAAACTATCTTTCCCTTAGAAATGTACTAACTTAGGGTATAAAAGCTATGGTAAAAAATAAACCATTGTCAGACTCTGCCAGACCCTGCAAACACCACCGTCTGGTTATTCTTTCTCTCTCTCTCTCTCCCCCTCTCCCTCGCAGACTTGGCCCTATCAAGGCTGGTCTCACATGTCTTCTCTCTCTCTCTCTCTCTCTCTCGCTGACGCCATTCATCCTGAGGGTATCCCCTGGATCCTGCTGAGGCTGGACCCCGGCAAATGATGGACACCCAACTGAGTGAGTGCAAGTGGTCTTAGAGCCTGCTGGCCACAAAGGCTGCTCACACATCCATTCAAGCCCCACTCCCCACACCTTGTGGAGCTTCAAGTCCATGCCAGCATTTAAGCTGAAGGCATACTTCTCCTAGTGACCCCAATGCTGTGTGAGCCCAGCACAGGTGCAGGGGTCTGGCCATCTCTGCCCAACACAAGGCTTCCCTGCTAGGCAGTCTTTGCTCCAGAACTGTTGTGCTGGCCGAGATGCTGACCAGTCTGCATTCTCCCTCTCTCACATGCACGACACAGTACACCTCTGTGCTCCCACCTAGCCTCTGCACATGCTTACAGGAAGGCTTGGGATGACTCATGAAGTATTTCCCTACAAACTATGTATTAGTTCAAATGTAAACCTGGCAACCATAACCAAGTGGTCAAAGCTGACATTACCTGTGTTGGGGCAGGCTGCCATCATGGCCCTGATACCCCATACCAAGGACACAATATAATTTCTGCAGTATTCTGCTGAAAACCTGATTCTAATCATGAAGAAACATCACACAAACTCTGGTTGAAAGGCACTCTGCAAAATAACTAGCCTGTACTCTTCAAGAATGCCAAGGTCAAGAAAGACAAAGAAAGGTTGAGGAACTATTCCAGATTAAGACTGAAAATGCAGAGTGTGATCCTGGACAGAGAAAAAAAGTGGTAAGAAATTTAGACAGAACTGAGTGTGGACTAGAAAGCATTATTGCTTTACTGGTAAAGTTCCTAATTTCAATCATTGTGCTGTGATTTGTAACAGAATGTCCTTGTTCTCAGGAAACACACCATGACGTATTTAGCTGTCTCCAACTTCCTCTCGAATGGACCAGAAGAAAACTCCACTAATGTGTTTATAAACAATTATAGAGAGAGTGATTAAAAATGCAGCAAATGTAAACAATTGGTGCATTTGGGTAGTGCATATTGGGGAGTTTCTGGGACTAGTCTTCCAACTTTTGTGTAAGTTAGAACCAGACATGGAACAATGGACAGGTTCCAAATTGGGAAAGGAGTACATCAAGGCTGTATATTGTCACCCTGCCTATTTAACTGAGATGCAGAGCACATCATGTGAAATGCAGGGCTGGATGAAGCACAGCCAGAATAAAGATTGCCCAGAGAAATATCAATAACCTCAGATATGCAGATGACACCACCCTTAGGACAGAAAGCGAAGAGAAACTAAAGAGCCTCTTGATGAAAGCGAAAGAGGAGAGTGAAAAAGATGGCTTAAAACTTAACATTCAGACAACAAAGATCATGTCATCTGGTCCCATTACTTCATGGCAAATAGATGGGGAAAAATGGAAACTGTGACAGAGTTCATTTTCTTGGGTTCCAAAATCACTGCAGATGGTGACTGCAGCCATGAAATTAAAAGACATTCGTGCCTTGGAAGAAAAGTTATGACCAACCTAGACAGCACATTAAAAAGCAGAGACACTACTTTGCTGACAAAGGTCCATCTAGTCAAAGCTATAGTTTTTCTAGTAGTCATGTATGGATGTGAGAGTTGGACTATAAAGAAAGTTGAGCACTTAAGAATTGATGCTTTTGAACTGTGGTGTTGGAGAAGGCTCCTTGGAATGCAAGGAGATCCAACCAGTCCATCCTTAAGGAAATCAGTCCTGAATATTCATTGGAAGGACTGATGATGTTGAAGCTGAAACTCCAATAATTTGGCCACCTGATGCGAAGAACTGACTCATTGGAAAAGACCCTGATGCTGGGAAAGATTGAAGGCAGGAGGAGAAGGGGACGAAGAGGATGAGGTAGTTGGATGGCATCACCTACTGGACGGACAGGAGTTTGAGCAAGCTCCGGGAGTTGGTGATGGACAGGGAAGCCTGGCGTGCTGCAGTCCATGGTGTCACAGAGT